GATGTTTTAAGATGTTTATTGAATCAATCAGAGAGCCTTAAGATGTTTTAAAACGTTTATTGAACCAATCAAGAGAGCCGTATTACCATTTTAAGACGTTACTTAAGATGATTTTAAAATAAGAATGGACTATGAATATCACCCTCTGATCAGCTTTGATCAATGATAAGATTTCCCTTATTTAATTAAATTTATCTTCCAATTAGTCCAATTTAGAATTATAATTATTTAATTTAATAATATACATAAAAAGAGAAAAAGAGAGAGATAAAATAGTTGTAATAATGAGAACAAATATGTTACTGGGGCAATTCTCTATCTTCTATCATTCTGTTCCCGATTCCATTTCGCAGTTAACATACATGAAACAAAAGAGGATGTTTCGCCGTATATTGTGTTTAATTATACGGCAACAGGGGAGGGAAGTTCTTATCAATAATTTTTGATATTCAAATATTCGAAATAAAAAGGGCAAACACGTTCGAATTAAGAGAAATTGCTATTAAATTTCAAGCAAATATGGCCACATTAATCAATATTCATTATATAGAGAATTGCAAAGCACATCTAAATCTTGTAAAATAATGAGAGATTCATTACATGTTTATGTTCGCTCAGAAAGGATTATAGTTTAACAATTAAGGTGGTTCTTTAGTAAATCGAGTTGTAGAAATGTCTAATTTTTTTATTTAATGAAATTGAAGTACTGAAATTGACATATGCAAAATTCTATGGTTACATAAAAAAGAAAAAAATATTAAAAATATAAGCTTTCATGTATAATTTAGTGATAGATAAGGCTCGCAGACGCTTCTTTTTTTTACTAACTCCACACAAATCTTATCATAGACTTTTCTTAAGGACGAGATTATAATAGTTTCAAAAATTACAATTTTAATAATCACAAAAAAGTAATAGGTCAACGGCCATTCTGGATATTTACCAGAATGTGTATAAACTTGCCGTATATAAATTTAATCTTGAAAAGTAAACATAATCTCATCTTTCTTTCGTTCGATAAAGATGCAGCTCTTGATTTACTATCGTATGTTCCACACTGTTTCATTAAGATATACACGTAGTTTTAATATTTTATTCAAATTATGTAAATATTTGCAATTTTGGATGGGCTCTGGTGAGAGGCACTTCAAATTTTCAGCACTTTACTAAAAAACCACCTTAAAGAGAGACCACGTATAATAAAATCCAGTGTGAAAATGAAATCGATACTTTTATGCAAATAAATATTAATGTTACCACAATTCATGACAAAATAATTCTTGACTGTGTTGCTTGCCGCTTTTTTACTGTAGATATTGATTGTGTAATGCAATATTTTCGGTCTATTCTAAGGGAATATTTGAAATTTTTTGAATGTGTGTACTGTGTATGAAATAAAATTTGTCTGCATAATGTGTAGCGATATTCTGAAATCGCTATCGGATCGTTGAAAAAACGATTTATCTCAATTTTGTAGAAATTGCAGAATTATCAGCAGAAAATATCGAAGAACGGGAAAGAGAAAAGGGACGTGAACGACTAGCGATCAACGTCGAGGTAGAGTCGGTGGTATTTAGGACTCATTGTTCTTCTAGTAGTTGCCTATGCATTGACTCGATAGATGGGCTTGTAGCTTTCTCTATCCGTCATTTGTTCCCTTTCGCCTTTATTCATCTGCCTCACGGCTTTTCTCGAGGGAGAAGCACTAAGATCTCTTAACGCCAACGTACTTTATCCTTGCTCCGACGCGATCTCCCCTTGAACTTTGATATTTACCTTCTTGTCCCTGCTTGCTGTAACGATTGACGCGGATCTACCGAAACAAACGTGAAACCATCTCCTTTCAATATCTAAAAAATAAAATTATCAATACCTAAGAGAGAAGTAATAACTCTATTAAACAAAGTATTTATTGATGTTACGCGCACTACGTAAGTGTTAGCTCTTGATTTGCATTCTTGGGACATTTGTAGACAACCTGATCAGTCGTCGTGCAAATTCTACGCGAACGCGTTGACGTTTCGACGATTTAAAAAATTCAAAGAAATAAACGAGTCGCCTACACGATACTGAAATTCCGTTGTAAATGCCTTCAAGAATACCGATTTCTTTGCGTTCCCGCAAGCAGAGAACTTTTCTCTACACACTGGTTCGCGTGTTCATCTATGTTCCATTTGTCTCCCTTCAAGTATCGATCGTCGTACGACACCGACTATGAAACTCTGTGAAACTTGCGAGTTGCGAGAGGTAACCTGTAGAATTGACAGAGCAAAAAGCTCCTTTTGGATCTGAAGTTCGGCGCGTGGAGAGATTTGCAAATTCGGCGCTACCAAGCACGAACGCTCGCGAATATCCGTTCTATGCAAATCGGCAACCTGCATGGCAAACGCGTTCCCGAACGAATTCCGCATACGAATTACCGAAAAACGATTTCTATTATACATCACGTATGGATACTGCAGCCTTAAAATTTAATATTCACATGTACATACATATACACTAACAAAATGTATATGTATGTACGGGTGTGCAAAAACTATCAAAATTAATCGTTTGTTTATTTGCGATATGTACACGAATAATAATCGCAAAAATATTTAACTAGTTTTTGAACATGCGTAAATTTTTTATTTTGTTACTTTTCTTAATTTTATTACAGAATTGTTATATTTGGATTGTATTCTTTAAAGTTATCTATATATTCTTGGAAGAATTTTCGAAGATTTATAATGTTTGTATACAAATTAATTCATATATACTAATACTATTATAAATTAATTTTATTAATAAAAAGTATCTATTTTCAAATGATATAATATATTCAATAGTATAGGAATAACATTTAAGCACAACATTCAACGTAACTAATAATATATAGAAGCATTAGAAGGCATAAGCCTAAAGTTAAAATAAAAGCTTTGAAGAAGTATTATGTATAACTTGAAATAATAGTATTTTTAATTTGTCTGTAACTAGAAACTTGAACTTGGACTGTAAAAAATTTATCCATTAAAAGAGCATTAAGAGCACACTTATGATTTACGGCATGATACTGGCTGCTTTCCAGCAAGGACACAGTCAGACACTGTGTAACACAGTAAGTCATTTCATGCTTGTTTAACGTAGGCAAACACAAGGATGTAATCATTCACTGTATTGCACAGTGTCTGTGTCCTTGTTGGAAAGCACCAACTGTTATCAGATAGTGAAAGAGAGAGAAAGAGAGAGAAAGAGAGAGAGAAGAGAGAGAGAGAGAGAGAGAGAAGACATTTTAAACCTTTTTAAATTCCTGACAGCATAAGATAAAGTGCGTGTAAATATTGAACATGCATTATTATATCTATAAATAAAATCACTGAACACGAAACCAATTATAGATGCAATAACGTTTTTATATTAGACTAACAGCCGAGCGGAAGTCAATTATCACATATTCTCTCCTGTACGTATTCTAATGAATTCGATAAATTCACATCAAGGAAAAAGTAGAACGTTACGGAACTCTTATTGTCTTCAACATAGTTAGATTATAGTTTGAATTATCCGGTTTTGTCGAGGTCATGTTTATCCTATCTATTGATCGCAGAATATCACAAATAAAGTATGTAATCTACTTATATGAAATTTATGAAGTTACAGGAACAGACTGAAAATTTATCCCAGTATTTTTCGTTTGAGGAAAAATGCAATTACTCATTTTTTTCTAATATAAAGAAAAGATAATGTTTATCCTAAACATTTTCTTTTATGGACACGAATTAAAAATTAAATTTGGAATCATGATGCCAAGAACTATGTGGAATTTTAGAAAGATGATTAATATCAGAAAATGAAAATTGATAAATGTGTTTTGTGTAAATAAAGTTACGGATATTTATTTAATTTAAATATGACAATGATAAAATACCATTAAAAAACAATTCAAGAATATTATTACGATATAAAGAAGACAATATATTGAATGTGTGGTTATACCGTTAGAATGATTCAATCAGTATCGAATGATGAAATTTGTAGTGGAATAATGTTATTAGAATATTAAAATCGTTTCTCGATAATTCTCTATATTGATGGACTTTCTTTCATCGTGTTTATCGATCATATCAGTCAAGCCAGTCAGCTGTCTGGGAAATTAATAACGAAGTCAGCACTTACGTAAAATGTTCTAACATAGCTCAGAGACGGTAAATTTTGCAGAATATTGAAACCGTGAAAAGTTCTCTTCCATCGATTTACTTGACTATGTTTGGAATTCGACATCTCAATTAAGAGAAAATCTTTGAAATACAATTTTCGGTCTTTTGATTTTAATTGCATATTTGCAATAAGCGTCTTTCAATAAAACTTTTAGAAGCTTAACCGCTTCTTAAACACTTTATTTTTTGTTGCAATATTAAAAAACATTATTTTATAAAACGAGCTTATTTTGCTCTTTACACAGTCTATTTACTTGCAAGTCTTTAAACCTA